TTCGTTGGTAAAAGAGTAGCCCAAGAGTTGGCGGTGGGTGGTGATGACTAGCTGCCTTCCCTCTAGTCTTACACTGCTAAATTAGGGACGGCTAGCGCAGATAGCCCTCGTGTAGCTTTGCGCAAAATTCAAACTAAATTTCAAATTCCAAAATTCGTTCATCTATCACTCCGCCACATCTGTTTTATCCAAACTAAACATGTTCATGTTTCAAAAATGCTTGTTTGCTTTCTTTGTATCTCCTTTTCATCTACTATATTGGTTGTAGTTAAAGTTTTTTATATATTTAGAACATATTGTATTATCTAGTGTGTACGTAAAATGGAATAGCAAACTGTTCTTTACATTTAGAAAGTTTGAAACTTAATGTGTAAGCTGCACACTTCTCCGCTCGAGTCTACGAGCTCTATACTCACGTTAGTTCTAGAACTAATAGAAGTTTGATGAATATCTTGAAACAATAACAAACAAGGAAATTTTCCTTTCTAATATAAGGAGCTTTCATTTTTGCATAATTATGACTTTATCCATGTTTTAGAAGAATATTGTTAATCATAGACTTTTAGCTTCTAAAATCCATTTCTTATTATGCCGACTTCTAGAATCCATTACTTATTATATTCCTAGTTAATTCCTAGATCCTGGCATTATTTCAGGATTACTTACTATACCGTTAAAGCTTAGATGATCACATCGTTTAAGGGTTACTTATTATGCCGATAGAGCCTGTATCCGCGCATTGTTTAAAGGTTACATATTACGCCGTTAAATCCTAGATCCTCGCATTGTTTAACAGTTCATAGTTACGGACACTAACTAAGTTTGTTGAATTTATAAATTTATCTTAAAGTTAATTTCATTTTATGCCACTTAAACTAATGCGAAAAACCACTAAAGGATAATTCGTTAAATTTATTTTTCTTCTCAATACTGTGACCCGAAAAAAAATATTAAACGCAAGGATATTTTACTGTATTTACAGGCAGCTCGCGAATTTTGGTATTGTTGCCTTGTTCTCAACATGTTTTTTTAAGGATTGTGTATTGTTAGTGAACAGACATGTGGTTTTGTTTTGAGAATTTTACCTTTACTTAAACATACGCATATATATATATATATATATATATATCTTATTATAAATATGATCAATTATGTATGTGAATGTGAGTATGTGTGGGTGTTAACATCCATTACTCAGGGTTGACTAGCTCGATTACCGTAATTTTTGGTATGGCAACTGGAAAGTGTCCTACAGTGTAAACGGGTTATTTTGTTATAGATTTTTGCTAGAGAAGGGGAATAAAAAGTCCCTGAAATACAGCACATTTCCGCTTTTTTATGGCTTGATGGCTAGGGCGCTCGACTCACAAGTTGCGAGTCGCGGGTTCAAATCCTGTCACCGAAAATGCGCACCCTTTCAGCCGTGTGGGCGTTATAATGTAACGGTCATCCTACCGTTCGTTGGTAAAAGAGTAGCCCAACAGTTGACTATGGGTGGTGTTCACTAGCTACCTTCCCTCTGGCCTATCACTGCTAAATTAGTGACGGCTTGCGCAGATAGCCCTTGCGTAGTTTTGCACGAAACTCTAAACAAACCAAAAGACGTTATTTAGACTTTTGTCTGGCATGACCCAGAGTTGGCTGGCTCGATTACCGTACTTTTTGGTGTGGTAACTGAAAATTGTTTGACGATGTGTAAGGGCTACTTTATTTTAGGATTATTGTTTTTTACCCGAGAAGAGGGATAAAAATAAACCTGAAACAGGTAATATTTCCGCGTATTTATAGACTTTTTGTCTTTGAATTTAAAGAATCAAGTACTTAATCAGTTAAATAAGTCAATTATTAAATTTCACGAAGTAGAGTATGCAATTAGCATATAATAGAAAAGGGCAGTGGTAAGTTACATTCCTATATTTATCTGATCTCTAACGGTTTTACTTATGCTAAGATAGAATAGGTCTGCACACATCCTATCGGCATTTCTCCTTCTAAACAAAATAAATGACTCTTTCATCCTTTCACATAGCTACTCAGTTGCTTAACAGTTCTAATTCGCTGTAATGTACGTGCATTACATACGGGTAACTTGAGAAAGCCAGATTGTACCAGTTTTCCTACGAAAAACCTGGTGCTTTATATTCCTACTAGGAGGAAAACTCGTTCTTCACGTGCGAAACATTTTTGTTGTGGTGGTATTTTATAACTGATTACACAAAGGTTATAAAATGTAAAGACAATGCCGTGTATTTAATGTAATTAAAACAGTTAGGTTACCTGCCTAGACTACTCATGTACAAGGTTAGGTACGTAAAGCTATGAACGAACCTGATGGCCGTGCGGGGCGTCTCAACGACTACGAGGATAAACCTAAATTGATTAAACCCATTTCACAACACGTGGTATCCACCAAAACATCTGTAGTACAAAAGACAGTTTGGACCGAATAGTGTGGTTAAAAATGACAAACCGATCAATTCATAGTAAGAGACAATAGACCTAGTGACGCTTTCAAAACCAAGATACCGAGGTCAAGTATTAAAATTCAACAAGGTCAAGGTATCGGTACTCTAAGTGTCCATAAACAAACGAAGAAATTCACACACAAAAACTGCTGGGGCTCTGAGGAACGACAGATCCATTCCTCGAATATCTTTCTTTCCCTTTGCAGTGTATAGTACTGTCTATATCTCCCCCCTACCCCCTTACACATATGGTGACGTCGTTTGTACTTCTCAAGTCCTAATTTCATTTTTGCATAATTTAATAAAGTTTAGAAAACTTTACCTAAAGGCACTATTTGAACTGGTACACATTCCCTCTGAGATTTTATAGTCTAGAATACTTTCTACCTGTTTAGTGAAAAAAAGCGTGAGAAGGTTACAGTGTACAGTACGTTTATTCCCAATTTTCTCGTAAAATCAGTACATCAATAAATTAAAAATATAAAAAACGAAGTTAAAACGTATAGCAGTGACTAACTCTAATAGATGTCGTTACTATACAGTACCTGACCGAGGAGGAAAGCAAACATAAGGTATAATGATACCGGAAACTAAGGGTACCTCTAAATAAATACCGACAATCTACACGTTAATTTCTCCAGTGACTAGTTTAACATACATTATTCATTGCATCTCCCTCAAAGGTACCACAATCAGATCAAAACAAAAGTAGGTCAGGCACTCTCCAACAATGAATACAAATTTTGACAAAGTCAGATCAACTGTCAGAAATGGACTGCATACGTAATCGTTTATGAAATCAACCCAATTCACAGTTTAATAAAGAAATATATCCAACAATGAATACAAATTTTGACAAAGTCAGATCAACTGTCAGAAATGGACTGCATACGTAATCGTTTATGAAATCAACCCAATTCACAGTTTAATAAAGAAATATATTATTTCTACATCCTGAACTGAAAGTTAGTAAAATGTTTCTGCTTAATACTGATTTTCGTTATTAACATCCAAATGCCTAGAAAATTGATTAATGCATTTCAAGTCATAAAATTTAGAATTTAAAATTATTAAAATAACGAACTTAACCACAATGAACAAAGCGGCCTGTGTCTGTTGTCTGTTAGCAAAGATAATTTTAAAAGTTTAAGTTCCCGATCTCTGATCACCATTAACCATAAACCCCATTACTTTGTTCATTTTTTTCATTGTTCCCCATTGGATCACCGGTAAGTTTACGGACTTACAACTCTATAATTTTGGGTTTGATTCTCTGCGGTGGAGAGAGCGAAGATAGCCTGTTGTGTAACTTTGCGCTAAAACTAACAAATACATTTTCTCATTTTTACGAGTTTATTATCATCTTAATTTCATCTCCTGCTACTGCTAACTAACGACACACATGCACGCCGCTCCACTATCCTTGTGGGGCTAGATATTTTGGTATTATATTTAATATGCAAATTCAATATAGTAAAAAAATTATAACACTTTATATTACCGAGAACAGATTTAAGCTGTGTGAGCTATTTCTTCAACACATATTTTCTGCACATAAGTTATAACTATTTGCCGCATGGTGTGCTGTTAGTTTGAATTATTTTAAACCTTTATTAGATAAATATTTGAATGTGTTTCCTTGTCGAGTTTCGCGCAAAGCTACTTGAAGGATCTGCGCTAGCCGTCCCTAATTTAGCAGTGATTGACTAGAGGAAATGTAGCTAGTCAAAACCACCCACCGCCAACTCTTGGGCTACTCTTTTAAAAACGAATAGTGAGATTGATTGTCACATTATAACGCTTTCACAGCTGAAAGGGCGAGCATGTTAGGTGACGGGATTCGAACCCCGACCCGTAGATTGGGGGACCCTAATCACCAAGTCATGCCAGGTTATTTAAATATGAAGTGCTACATTTGATTTTGTATCGATGTTTATATAAGCCAGTGAAAGATGGCCTACACTGACTTAATAGTCTTCTACCATGTTACATTTCATGTTTTTAACTAAATATCATGGGCCACGCTATAGTAAGGTTCTGTATATTAGTAATGTAAGAAGTGATATGCTGAATATTTTGTTATTTACAAAAGAAACATAAATAGTCAGTTAATTTTTATGAAATAGAAGACTGCAGGAGCACAAAAAACTTGTATGCTACTGTACTACAAAATGTTACAGATGTAAAAAGTAAAATGTAAATGATATATATCTATATAATAACGTTAGAATAAATAAATACCAAACATGAAAACAAACGTTTGGTTTCTTGTCAATTTAATTAATATGTATTTAAATTTCTCAAGTTTATCACATTGCTATTGTTTTTACAGAGTTTTGTTTTATTGTTTTAAGTATTCATCACACATATTTCTATTATAAACAAACCTTTTTTTTTTTGTTTAGATGAGATGCATCAAATATTTAGTTGTTGCTTTTTCAAAGTTTCATACATTAGGTTTTAAAATCACTATATCCACTAACCCCATTGGTGTTTTAAAAAACTCGCATATATTCGCGCCTTTTTAATTAAAAATTATGAGTCAATGATCTTCTCCGAAAATGTTTGAATGATTTGGTCCTAAAATATAGAAAAAAAACACGTTACAATGAACTACTTCTAATTTCTGTTAAGGGTATTCAGCTTACAAATGTCACCCCAAGGGGGTACTATCCCTAAAAAACCCTATCCTTTTTAAAAGTCTTGTTTTAGTTAATTATCTATCCCATCTTAGAAATTCGTACACATCAATTCTATTGTTTTATAAAAATTATCAAGATAATTACATTTAGCTTTATCCACTTTCAGGCAGTTTTTGTACATGTTTTGTCATCGTTTCCGGAACTTGAACACGGATGGGAAAAACATAATAAAAAATCCCGCATTTCCTACTTCTAAAAAATATAACTTATTTCATACTTGGCCTTGGAATCAAAATACACTAGTCCTTACAAATAAACGTACTTTTATAAATGTTTTTCATAGACAGTGTTTTATGAAACAAAGCCATAGGAATGTTTTCGTTGTTTAATATCCAACGTAACAATTCCACTAATTAACAAACTGATGAGATGTAAATATAAACTTACGGGTTTATAAAATGATGCTGGTTGTTTTTTTTCTGACGCTTTGCTACACAATCGATTTTTTCTCACAAGCAGCTCCATGATTGAAATAGAAGTGAATGGACATGTACAACATTTAAATGAATGCAGTATCATATTTTTCTCCGGTGGGAATGGAATTGCAATGTAGAACCAGTTATGTGTGGTACGGTTAATACCAACAGAGAGTGATTGAAATTTCCTGAGGTTTTCGATCAACCAATTTCTTAAGCAATCTGAGATGAAATAACATTACCAAAATTTGAGTGTTATGAAATTGCTGCCAAAATCGTTAAATACAGGCTCAAAAAATTCAAACTCAGTAAATTGTTAAAGTTTTTAATCATAAAAATTATAAATTTCCATTAAACTGGTGGGACAGCAGTAAGTTTAAGGATTTATAACGCTAAAATCCAGGGTTAGATTCCTCGTGATGGACACAGTAGATAGCCAGCCCAAAGTATCTTTGCTTTAAAACAATTAAAAAACATACTGGGAAAACGAAACCAATGCTAGTTTTACGTTCATCTGTATTTCAAAAAGTGTAATTATAAATATTTATAGCTCTTAAGAGCTTCATATAATTTAGTTAAATTGCCTTGGTTATTTGTTTCTGTAGATGGAAGGTGACATTTCGCTGGCCAGTCTCCCCTATACTTAAGGCAGTATAGATACGTTCCACTGTGGGGCCAGAAACGCTTACACCTGGTCTAAGAAGTGAACAGTAATTTTGAAAACTTTATCAAGTGAAGGGCCTATAGTTAACTATTTTGTATAGTGCCAAGTTAGAATGGGTGACGAAGGAGGGTATAGTGCCAAGTTAGAATGGGTGACAAGTGAGGTATAGTGCCAAGCTAGAATGGGTGACACGTGAGGTATAGTGCCAAGCTAGAAGGGGAGACAAGTGAAATATAGTGCCAATCTAGAATGGGTGACAAAGGGATATAGTGCCAAGATAGAATGGATGACAAGTGAGGTATAGTACCAAGATAGAATGGGTGACGAATTTATATCCCCTTGTCACCCATTCTAGATTGGCACTATACCCCTTGTCACCCATTCTATTTGGCACTATACCCTTCTTGTTACCCATTCTGTCTTGGTACTATACCCCCATTCGTCACCCATTCTATCTTGGTACTATACCTCACTTGTCATCCATTCTATCTTGGCACTATATCCCCTTGTCACCCATTCTAGATTGGCACTATACCTCACTTGTCACCCATTCTAATTTCAAACTATACCCTTCCTTGTCACTCATTCTAACTTCAAACTATACCCTCCTTTGTCACCAATTCTATCTTGGCAATGTACCCCCTTCTCACCCATTTTATCTTGGTATTATACTTCACTTGTCATCCATTCTATCTTGGCACTATACCCCCTTGTCACCCATTCTAACTTGGCACTATATCCCCTTGTCACCCATTCTATTTGGCACTATACCCTTCTTGTTACCCATTCTATCTTGGTACTATACCCCCTTCGTCACCCATTCTATCTTGGTACTATACTTCACTTGTCATCCATTCTATCTTGGCACTATACCCCCTTGTCACCCATTCTAACTTGGCACTATATCCCCTTGTCACCCATTCTAACTTCAAACTATACCCTGCTTTGTCACCAATTCTATCTTGGCACTGTACCCCCTTCTCACCCATTTTATCTTGGTATTATACTCTCTTGTTACCCATTCTAACTTGGCACTATACCCCTTTGCCACCCATTCTAACTTGGCACTATACCCCCTTGTCACCCATTCTATTTGGCACTATACCTCCTTGTCACCCATTCTATCTTGGTACTATACCCCCTGTACAGAAGAGAAGAGAAACATTTTTCTACAACGGCCAAACTTTTCACGAATGTCAATTTGATAAAGTTTTTGGTAAGCTCACCAGTTACAATGTCTCGAGGAGCTACGCTAATTTCAAGAGTTTGAGAAAACTGTGTTAATCTAATGACTTTGAGACAACTGTGTTAATCTAATGACTTTGAAACAGCTGTGTTAATCTCTTGACTTGGCGACTGAAAGACACATATGGCCAAAGCCATCGGTCTGACCAAAAACCGTAACAGGTAGCAAAACAGGAAATGTAAAGTAATAGAATCCCAGTACTATACTCAATCTTTCTAACAAAGCTAGCAAAATATATGCATTTAATTTTGAATACCATAACCGATTAAAGAAATAACCATGATATGTACTATATTTATCATTTCATATGAATCCAGCTCAGAATTTATTACCTAACATTGCACAAATGATAGATAAGTGTGGGATTATTTTACATATGTTTTATTACATCAAACCATCTGCGAAAGAAAAGGAAGATTTCTAAATTCACCGTTAATTAACTAATGTATTAAAAATTTATAACTAATGCACTAAATTAAACGTGCTACAATTACAAAAGTAGAGACAGAGAAAAATTCACATCATCTGGTTCTATGACTTCAATTTTCAAGAAATAAGATTGAAAACTATAAATATACATATTGAAAATTTTAGTTCAAACAAATGCTTTGTTTTTAATTACATGATAGTTCTGACAACCAATCAACGGCTTAACCAGATTAGCAGACGATTCTCAGCTGCTTGTAATTAAAAATGGACTGCAAAAACCAATTTTAAACCATAACCTGTTGGTAAACTTCGAAAATATATATGTAATTGCTGGATACAGTTAAAGGTGGACGTAATTTTATAAACAGCAGGAAAAAATGTGAGCAATATGGTTTACAGTGATCCCTAAAATCCAGTTCAAAATATGCTACGATTTTCAAACTTTGAGTACAATCTCTGAAGCCAGTATTTCTGTGAGTTTATATTTATGAAAATACACAAACAAATGAGATGAATTTATTAACTTTTTACCCTATGTAAACTTATCTTTTTTATTTCCTTTTTGTCACGTACCTGTGATTTTTCAATAGTAGCATTGTATCTATCACACATAGGGCTGATGTCTAGACCTTGTTCTCTTTCTTTATCTCCCTGTTGGAAAAACTCTTCCATTAGAAGATCCACCCATTTCTTGTACATTTCTAGCGGTTTAGTAGGACTACTTAAGTCTGCACAATGGATCATATTCTGAAGAACCTAGAATATGGAAGAAAATAACTAAATCATACAAATTAAGAATTCTTTGGTAAGTCACGTGTCATTAAACAATATTAAAATAGAAACCACGGTATAATAAGCATTTTGAATGTCGTATTTTATAATACAAGTATACAATGTAATAACCATTTTGAATGTCGTATTTTATAATACAAGTATACAATGTAATAACCATTTTGAATGTCGTATTTTATAATACAAGTATACAATGTAATAACCATTTTGAATGATGTATTTTATAATACAAGTATACAATGTAATAACCATTTTGAATGTCGTAGTTTATAATACAAGTATACAATGTAATAACCATTTAGAATGTCGTAGTTTATAATACAAGTATACAATGTAATAACCATTTTGAATGTCGTATTTTATAATACAAGTATACAATGTAATAACCATTTTGAATGATGTATTTTATAATACAAGTATACAATGTAATAACCATTTTGAATGATGTATTTTATAATACAAGTATACAATGTAATACCCATTTTGAATGATGTATTTAAAAATATGAACCACAATATAATATACTTATATTCTAATCAAGGTATTAGTATCATCTAGCATCTGTGAGACTTGTCTAATCCCCCCCTAGCTACCTACATATACGGGTGCTCGAAATTGTTAATAATATCATTTTAATAAACTGTTTTACCCTAACGACATTCCAAAGTATAGGAGCGATTATAAAGAAAATCTCACAATTACAATTACTATACCTTAAAATCTGCTTGTTGCATGGAAAGTAAGTTTCATCGCGGGTACATTGAGGATCATAAGCTGTATTCAGGAAAGTTTGGACGTGGTACACGGTGTTCTAAGACTTTCATAAACGGTTTCAGTATTTTTTTTCCTTCATCCTCAGTACGAATATCAAATATATCTCTAAATAAAGCTACTATAAACATACCTGTTCTAGACTGTGTCCATGTAAACATCATCTGTTCCAAACAGTGTCCATAAAAACGTAATCTGTTCTAGACAGTGTCCATGTAAACATAACCTGTTCTAGACAGTGTCAATATAAACTTCATCTGTTCTATACAGTGTCAATATAAACATCCACTGTTCTAGACAGTGTCAATATAAACATCAAGTGTTCTAGAAAGTGTCCATGTAAACATCAACTGTTCTAGACAGTGTCAATATAAACATCAACCGTTCTAGACAGTGTCAATGTAAACATCATCTGTTCCAAACAGTGTCAATGTAAACATCATCTGTTCCAAACAGTGTCAATGTAAACATCAAGTGTTCTAGACAGTGTCAATGTAAACATCAAGTGTTCTAGACAGTGTCAATATAAACATCAAGTGTTCTAGAAAGTGTCCATGTAAACATAATCTGTTCTAGACAGTGTCAATGTAAACATAATCTGTTCTAGACAGTGTTCTAGAAAGTGTCAATATAAACATCAACTGTTCTAGACAGTGTCAATATAAACATCAAGTGTTCTAGACAGTGTCAATGTAAACATCAACTGTTCTAGACAGTGTCAATATAAACATCAACTGTTCTAGACAGTGTCAATGTAAACATCAACTGTTCTAGACAGTGTCAATGTAAACATCAACTGTTCTAGACAGTCTCCATTGACTTTCACAATATCCTACACAAAGATACACATTTTATTCAAATCACCAATCTCTCATATTGTCGAAACTAAGAGAAATCAAAGTAATGCTATCTTGCGATAAAAGTGATTAACATTTATATGATATAAATATGGTCTTAAAATGCTCTGCACTATGTTCAAGATTAAAAGTGCCTCTGATAACATGTTCTTCTCTTAAAATGAGTAGTTTTTAATATATAATCATATGAAATACCAGGTTTTCTTTACAATTATCATGTACTTTTGATCATCAGTTCCAATGAGTAAACCTTCAATGCTGTTCCTGACTACAACAAAACAGATTCATTAAAACTTATATAGCAAAAAAAAGTGTCTATATTGTAAAAGATAAACTAGCTTGCACCAAGTAATGTATTTGAAAGCTAATGCCACATTTTGGTGGATGGTGAATAAAAATGTTGGGTATGAAAGAATGGTTTCAGAGTACTTAGATCTCAATATAGTATTTAGTTCATTGGTTTCAGAGTACTTAGATCTCGATATAGTATTTAGTTCATTGGTTTCAGAGTACTTAGATCTCGATATAGTATTTAGTTCATTGGTTTCAGAGTACTTAGATCTCGATATAGTATTTAGTTCATTGGTTTCAGAGTACGTAGATCTCGACATAGTATTTAGTTCATTGGTTTCAGAGTACTTAGATCTCGATATAGTATTTAGTTCATTGGTTTCAGAGTACTTAGATCTCGATATAGTATTTAGTTCATATCTTGACATTGTATAGCAAAAATTCAGAACTCAACACTGTATATTATTCATATCTAGACACTGGACCAGGAATTTATTTCCCAATATTACATTTGGTTGAGACTTAGACGTTATATACTAGGAATTCAGATCTCAACATAGTATTTCTTCCAGGCCTAGACACTGTGTGGTATATAAATATACCATGCACTTGTCCTTTTTTCGATTTTTCATATAATATTATTCTGAATCTATCAGCTATTCTGTATATGTACAGTTTTCACATAACGCGTAACCAAGAAAGTTGTTAAGTTTATTTCGTTCTATCTGCCTTTGTTCCTTGTAATTATGCCCATGGGAGTCGTGGCTGTAATGCTGCATGTTATACAAGAACGCAAACAGCAGTGTCATTCAATGGCAGTTCAGGTGGTATCTGGAAGTTACCGCCTCCCCTATGCTTGAATGAGGATTACCAGTCACGTGAATCGCTAGTCTCACTGGGTAAATCTATTCTTACTGTGACGTAAGGAAAGTTGAACTTAAACAGCGTGGTAGGTGATTTCGGCCTGATCAGTTGAAGATGTCTAATCCAATACAAGTGAAGGTTCTCTTCTTTCGAAGCAAGTACACACGCTGTGTTTGTGAATTAATAAAGATTTTTGACTTGCACTGTCCAGCCTTCGTATTTAGATTTCACGAACACAATTATTCAAATATGCAGTGATAACTAACATTTTGAACCTTCCACAAGTCTAAGGTTAACCCAGTTTCACCGGAATATACAACAATCGTATAGCAGGAATTTAGATCTCAACATTGTATTTTGTCCCCCTTACATCCTTTCAAAGCCAACAAAATGAGTATTTCCGTTAAATGTCAAAGTCCGTAACGATAAATTAAAAGTTGTCTTTCCATAGATACAAAATAAACCGAAAAATATTCATAATGCAATGAATTTTAGGTTTCACAATGAATTTTAGGTTTCACAATTTATGCAGATATTTGGTTTCGTGCAAAGCTATTCGAGGGATTTCTGCACTGGCCGACCCTAATTTGGCAGTGATAGGCTAGATGGTAGGCAGCTAGTCAACACCACCCATCGTCCACCCTTGAGCTACTCTTTTACCAACGAATAGTGGGATTGAACGTCACGTAATAACGCCCCCACAGCTGAAAGGGCGGACATGTTCGGTGACGGGGGTTCGAACCCCGCGACCCGCAGACTGCGAGTCGAATGCCCTAACCATCAGGTCATGGCAGGCCTAGCAGCTATTTAAATACACTGTACTGACTTGAATTCGAGTTTTTCACGGTATTGTTTATGATTGGTCTTACCTGAATTCTTTCAGTGTAATTGTCCAATAGAAGTACCCCAGATCCAGCTACTTTTTTCGTTTCCACCATAGTCTTTAAGTCGGCTAGTAAACTCATATGTTTTGACATATCTGTTGCTATAACCTATAGAGTAAATCATTGTTACCATGTTTGATAAAAACACGTAAACTTCATTGTATTCTATACATTCTAGAATAACCTATGTTCTCAGGTGGTTTTTCTCATGCATCCTAATTTACAAGAAGTTGTCTGTGCTGAAAACTTCCAATAAAGAGTGATAAATTGTATTGGTATAGTGAAACTAGGTTTATCCTTCATAAACTATCTCAGTATTTCCAGACTGATCTTATTATTGGTTATACAAGTGTACTTATTTCATTGCATGGCTATAAGACCGTTACAATATTAACACAGAAGCATATTAATCCTGAAGATGAAGGTTGTATTATACTGATAATTTCCACAGTTTGTTTGTTTGTTATGGGTTTCACGCAAAACTACATGAAGGCTATCTGTGCTAGCCGTCCCTAATTTGGCAGTGTAAGACTAGAGGGAAGGCAGCTAGTCACCATTACCCACCGCCAATTCTTGGGCTACTTTTTTTCCACCGAATAGTGGGATTGACAGTAACATTATAACGCCCACCCGGCTGAAAGGGCGAGCATATTTGGTGTGACGACGATTCGAACCCGCGACCCGTAGATTGCGAGTCGAGCGCCCTAACCACCTGGCCATGCCGGGCCTAATTTCCACAGACATTTACTAAAAAACTACTTGCTCTGTTTTCTCATAAATCACGTCTTAACAACTTTCTACCTTTCTGCTTATTTTGTTTCAAAATTTGTGAATTTCAAATATCTTTAAAGGGATTTCGAATAAAACTGATTTTTCCTTTGTCTATAAGTAAGCATTTTAAATATATATTTTTTAACTTGTTTTTTTTATTTGAATGACTTCAAAATAATAAACAGGTTATCATTTTTGCTGTGTGCACAAAATAAGTAATATTTAACTGATGTATGCGTATAAATTAACGAATATTTTCTTCTAAATATATATGACCAATTTAATTATGTTAATGGCTAATGTTAGGCAGACCTTATATCTCCAAGTTACAAAGCAATAACTTGCATTTAAGTCACAGTCATAAATTTGTTGTTTCATCATTTTCTTATATAAAAGTTATATCACTGTGTTCGAGTTACTAAGATATTTTTTTCATAATCTTCACTATCAAAGCTTTCAAACACGCAGGAAATCATAAAATTCTATCAAAAGGAAACATTTAAAATTATTACATGTTAATTCATATCAAATTTAAACTTACCATATCGATGGCAATTTTACGGAGTGTCTGGCGTTGTTTTTTACTGAGGTTCACAAATATATTACAGCTTTCGTCTTGAAGTATCTTGAATGCTACAGCTAACGAGTGGCTTTCAAGAACGGATTCATCATTATACATAATCGCCAATTCAGAACCTGTGAAAGGAAGTTTTATATAGACTTGAAATTTTATATGTTAACTTCTAAAACATCAGCTTAAAGATACATTCTTATCAATGTCTTCAATATTTTTTTCTTTATTTATCATTATATCATTATTCCTTATTAAAATTATATTTAAAGTTTGAAGAATGATAACGTCTCTTTCTTACACTTGTGGCTGGGCGTGACCAAATGATTAGTGTGCTCTCCTGCATTTCGAAAGGTCCAAGGTTCGAGGCACAATACGCACGTCGCAGAACCTGCTCTACACTTTCGTCAGAGAAGCGTTATAACTTTAACAGTCAGTCCCACTATTCAGCCAGGAGTAGTCACATAGGAGTTTGATGATGCTCATTAATTGCACTTCCTCTGGTCAACATTTATATTATATTATAGCAGCATCTATGTCTGAGTCTCTGAGGCTTCTGAATTGGACGTTTAGCTACGAGTCGCATATGGCGTTTCTTTAGAATTTCGCGCAAAGCTACTCGAGGGCTACCTGTACTAGCCGTCCCTAATTTAGCAATGATAGGCTAGAGGAAAGGCAGCTAATTAACACCATCTAGCACTCACTCATACAGCTCGCTATTTCTTGTCCCACTGTGGCTGGCATCAGCTAGCTCATCTATGAAACATCAGTTCACCAACTGAGTGATAAGCACACCAGTATGTCGATCCCAAGATGCTAATACTAGAACCCTGGTTGGTGGTAAATACCTTCATTCTATGGCCAGTGCCTCATGGATAAGTAGCAGAGATTAACTTCTCCATTCACGTCTCGTTTATCTCCATTTTTCACATTGAAGTTTGTGTTGACTGGTCTGAGTGATGGTTTCACATTTTGATTTCCTAGAGCTTTAGCAGCAGTGTTTACCTCATATTTTTTACTCTTCTGCACCTGTGGAACCGTCAGTCAAACTAAAGGCCTTGTTTACCTTTCTTCTCGTGAAAAGGTACAGGAAGTTCACTCGAAAGTGGCCCAACATTCTATAGGCAAAGTAAATACTATGTTATTCTCTTCTATAATAACATCCAGGCAGAGGCATCATCAACATAAGCTATGACATTTAAAACATGTGTGAACTGGTATAGTCCTGCCCATTCACTAGGTATCAGCATGGTCACATCATAAGGCCAGGATATATGGCTCGACTCAAGCTTGATGCAGTGTAGGTGCCTGGGTGGGCAGGTCTGTCCACAGTACATCCAGTGCAACTATGCCGCAGGCTTCTTCCTCTCTTGCAACTGATGAAAAGATCTCTCATATCAGGGTGGTGCCTCATCATCTTATTGGGTAGCCCTTCATTAAACTTGTCAACAAGAATATCCTTGTGATCTGTCAAAGTCATTGCAAGGAAGGTTTTATCATGCAAATAGCATTAGATCATCCACATAGGTAGCCAAACTCTGTGTGGTGCCACTTTCTAAGTCTAGAACTAGACTCAATGGATTGCTAACTGTTTCCACAGGTCAAACCTTTTGCACAGTTACCTGACTTAAATGTTTCAGCAAACAGTCAAAAATCTTCCTTTCCTGCACTCTTGAATAGAGGTGGCAAGATCTGTTTTGCCTCATCGTGGCTAGATCTTTTTTCCTTACAAACTCTTGGCTATGGACTGACCAAAATGTCCTCAGCGTCGTGAATACATCATGGTAAGTATGCTCAAGGACTCTGGTTCTTGTCTAAGTAGTTAATCTATGGTTCAGGGCAGCAAAACAATAAGCTGCCATTGGGTCTGCTTGACTCCAGGCTCCTCCATAATCCATGGTGGCCCAGGAACTCCGGGCTCTTCCATGGTGGCTCAGCAGTATACTTCTTGTCTTAAAGAAGCTCATCATCATTCCATGGTTCACCATATTTACCACTGAATAAAAACCTTTTCATATGCTAACGAAATCACTTCTGCTGGCATACATCATCCACCGATGTCATTTCTAGTATGTTCTCACCATTCTCAGGTACCTTTGATCTGGGGTTGATTTTTTTTGAGTGGTGAAGGTCTTTGTGTTCTATACAAGAAACCCTCTTCATTTTCATACTCGCAAGATTCCACTCCACTGCTAACCCTCAGTCAGTCCTTAGGGTAAAAGCATAAATAGCTGTTCTGGGTGCACCAGATGTCAGTGGCTTCCCTTTCTGAGTCATTGACTGCAACGATATGGAAGTTATGGACCTTTAGACATAGACCAAGGTCCAATTTCCAAGAGGGGCTCCTCTTATACCCGATAATTTTTTCATATACTATATTCCTTCAATGACCAACTCTACCTCTGAGTCTAAAAATTGTGGAAAATGCCATTTCTATTACAATATTGCCTTGTTAAATTGACCAAACTTATTAAAACGAAATTCAGAGACTAAACAAAAGGTAACGTACAAAAAATAAAATCCTTAGTTATAGTACAAACATAGTGTGTATATATGTTTTGGAACTTGGGCATTGTTACTGAAATGTCAGCTGTTTTATCTTCAAATTACATCAACTTAAATCATATACCAGACAGTTTAAACCTAGTATTACTTATTCAACTCGGTAACTTCAGACTTGCCCAGAGTGATTAGCACTACCCATGTGATTTTCATTTTCATTGAAACTTAAAGGAGGTTGTAACCATGAGCTATCATTGTAGAACGCTGCTGTCAACCCGTGTTCTCAAGGTGCAGCTTTAGAGCCACACCCTACAGGGGTAGACCAGGTGTTTCCTCAAAAGCATGACAAAGAACTAAAGTAGTTAGAGCTAAGTACCTTAACGACTATCTTGACCAAGTGTTATGATCAAACTGCACATACCAGAATAACTAACAAATTACGAAAACTGCTCCATTTCTTTTAAATAGAAAAGTTATTTGTGAGATGTTACAATTACTTTAGAAACTCAAGCGTTCATACTTTGTCATCAAAATGTAAAATATTTGCACTTCCTCTGAAAGAAAAAGTTTTACCTATCACTAAATATTTGTGTTGTCCAAAAATAACTATATTTATAAAGAAGAAAGGACCAGCTTTGACAAGGTTTCTATGGTTATCCATTAACTAGATAAATTTTATTGCAAAAAACAAAATACGTTATATATCAGATATAAAATTTTAAAAAATTGCCAATTATAAGTGGTCTAATTATTGTTTAAGTTTAAATTTGTGTTTATACATTAATGTAAACATTAAATGAGAAACTCCACACTGTAAATGGATTAATGATAATTTTTTCTTTCATCCTATCATTTTGAACACATAAAGTGTAATCTCAAAATACTATTAAAAATGTAAGTTATTTGAAGTTTTATTTTTTAATCTTTTAGACTTTACACCTTAAGATGACACCAGAATTTACCGAAAGCTTACCTTCATTGAACAACGACCTCCCAGCCTGTGAAATACTATTAAAAGTTGTGTGAGTAATTTTAAATTCTTAATTTTTTTTACTCTTTTACATTTTTTCACTTACTTGTAAAAGTTTTAATTCAATGAGCTTTTGATATTTTTTAAGATTTAAAAAAGGCCATACTTACTAGAGTTGACTAAGTATTGGTTTGTAAGCCCTGGGTGGTCAACATCGTGGATGGCTGCTGCAAATAATGCAGCTAGTATTTCCAAATCAGTGAAAACTGACTGTAAAATTTAACACTAAATCAATTCTTGTCTGTAAACACAGGATGCATCATATTGAAATTCGCCAATAAAGATACTAAGTGATATCAATTTTGTTGAGCAATTCACCGTGGCTCACACTAAATATATTTTCCAATAATATATTTATATTTTAAACATTTTCCATATGAATTTATGTAATCACACAATATTCTTCTGAAATTTAATAGCACATTTTACATAAGTTTAGTTAGTATTTATACCATCCCAGTTTTATTTTATTATTTATATCATCCAAATCTTTGCCAATAAAAGCAACATATTCTTATGAGCATATATCCCCAAATATATTATAATAAAGATAAAATTCACTCTTACAGCATAATTAATATTTTTTAATATGCACCATTGATACTCTAGTTTAAAACGTTGTTAAGTAGAGGACAATAATTCTGTATTATTGCTTTATTATTCAGACTATAATTCTATAATATTTTAGAATTGTATATATTTTAATATTTCTATATATTCTATATATTTTAATATTCTAATATTTATTAGAATATCTACATTTTATGCATGAATTTTAATTAAAAATGTTATTCATAAAGCATTGAATTTCCTCTTTTCTACACGTAAAAATAATTTATAATTTATTAATAAATACGTTACTGGTTCTTATAAGTTAAATATATCTATATATCCTTTCATATAACATTTTTAAACTGTAACAAATACTGTATATATATCGTTCTATCTTATCTTAATTACAGTTACCAAGGAAACTCACGTCAAGAGCTGGAGAAAGAAGTAGAACGTTCACAGACTGGGTGACGTCACCAGCATGGGTGTTATTGTGGTAAGGAACCTTGAGGTAATGATCTTCTAATGTCATGAGGTAATTGATGGCTGTCTTAGAAGGTATACCGAATGTCTTGAGAATCTCTCTGTCCTGGAAAAGCAGTGAATTATGGCTGCGAACAGTCGATTTATATAGCGAATACAAATGACAAGTATATATTACATAGCAACTTGTGCTTGAAATACAGTATATAGTTGAAAACAATTAACATTGGAAAGAGTAAAACTTTAAAAAGATATCTCTAATTGCTAGTACCCATTTATAATATATATATATATATACATAGCTTCAATACTATTAATTATATCAATTGCTAATTGGCGATTAAAATTAGTACTGGAAAACAATGGTGAACTTAACATAAAATAAGCATTGGTAGAATTGCCATTTTCGGTCCTAGTTGTCATCTTGATGTCATAACTGATAATACCTGTGGTAATAGCATCCAATTGTGTTGGGGGTATCCCATTTATCAGACAATATCCAAACGCTTTGTTCTCCTGAAGAAGAATAGTCAACTATTCGAAAGCGCTCGAGTTTTGGGTCTTATTTTAAGTCAATATCCAAACGCTGATGTTAAACTAACCAGCTATCATGGAAAATAATTAAGGGTATGGAGTTGAGTGCTTACACCCACAACTTAACTCTTGCTGCCTTTCACTGTCTACAGCCAGTTGTAGGAAGTCAGTTACCCTTAGAGTAGAAATGAAATCACCCTAAAATTTCTACTGTGTGAAATTCCCAACCGAATAACACTAGTGGGGGTGGGTAGACCACGAATGTGAAAATTAAATTCTATTCTTTTATATTTGGTTTTCCCACCCCTAATAGTGTTATTTCGTATACAATGTTAAAATGTATTATTATTATATCCCAGTTAAAAAGTTTTTAATAATCTGTAACAATAGTAATTCACTTATAAATAATGTTTTATTATTCATAAATAAGCTGAAAAATAATAGATATAAATACTGGCAATTAATTAAATCCCTTAAACTTTTTATAATAAATATGAAAAAATAAAATAAATAAACTTTCGATTATGGAAAACACATTATCGCGACATTAGAGGCCGCTAGTTACTTAGGTTTATATTTGGCTAACTTTGAAAACATAATTTCATTCAGTAAACGGGACGGAAAGACTAACTTCAAATAGCTAGGCTTGTCTCGGTTTTCCCGTCTTATACTTGAATAAATCTTCAAAAGAAAGTTTGGGTATGTTAGAACTATTAAGGTAGGGTTTGTAGTTCTCTTTAAGATCATTTAGTTTCGTTTAACATATTTATGTAAGGGAGGAGATTGGGAGTTTCACATAGCAAAAATTTTATGGTGGTTTCATTTCTACCTTAAGAACGTTAAGAGTAACTGCCTTCCCACAAGTGGCTGCAGACAGTGAAATGCAGTAGGAGTTGAGACGTTGTGGGTTCAAGCACTCAACTCCATACCCTTAGTTGATTTTCCATGCTTGTTGCTTAGTTTAACATCAGCGTTTGGATATTGTCTGATAGATGGGATAACTCCCAAGACAATTAGGTGCTATTACCACAGGTATTATCAGTTATGACATCAAGTTGACAACTAGGACCGAAAATGGCAATTCTACCAATGCTTATTTTATATATATACATATATATATATATATATAGAGAGAGAGAGAGAAAGAAAAACAAAACATATACAATTTTCCACCTGTGGGTACAAATAAAAAAAAACATCACAATTCTTGAACCCTTTTGTTTTTCTCTTATTTATTATTTAATTGTACATTTTTTGTAAATACGTTCTGAAGAGTGACCTTTGAAGTGACGAAACCGGTAGAAATAATTAAAAATCAAATAAAAAGAGTTCAGTAATTGCAGTGTTTTGTTACGTGAACATAATAAAACAGAATAACAATTAAATTCAAATAACAATTATTCCTTGTCAGTTTCTCATTTATAGGTGATCTTCCGTTTTGCTTTTAAGTGTGTGTTGTTTGGGTTTTATGCTTTAAGGGTTTATTCTGAGGAGCACCCATAGATGCAAAATTGGCAGGAAATAAAGGTTATTTTATGTTTTTAGAAACCCCAGTTTTAATGTATGTTATTATCTAAAGAAGTGAATTCTAATTTATTTATTTATATAAACATAGTGTGTGAGTGAACATGAGTGAATAAATCTTCTAATATTTTTTTAATCAATAAGTGAGACAACAATAAAGCTACTAGTAATTATATTTTATTTTCTTTAATATGACATAATATTTCACTTTGTATGATACAATACATCTTATGATTTTTAAACAAGTTATTAATTCTTTTATCACTTATTAACTTGTACGTGTTACAGAACAAATTGGTAAACACGCCCCCAAAAGACTTTAAATTCATGTTTAATATCTCAACACTCGCAGTATCCTTCCAGTTATGGCCTACATAGGTGATAAATACATTTACCAGGGTGTAAACAAAGATGAGAAATAAACAAAATTCTACTAACCCTCCATATTGTGTACGTAACTGCGGTAAGTGGTCGATTATTGGATAAATCTGTTATTCTGAAGATGTCAACACCCCACTTATCCACATGTTCAAGTTCCTATATTTGAGAGAGAAAAAGTAAGTAACCTTGAGGTACATACACGTGAATAACTATGTAAGATGTCTTTATTTACATCATGACCAATCTTACATTGCAGTACACGAACACCTACTAAATTTATATTTATTTAATACTTTGATGATCAGTTCTAGCATCCAAAAACGTTAGTACAAAAAATCTACTTTATGAAGCTGGAGCTATCATGAGTACAACACACAATCAAGACAATAACTAAAAGCCAATTGTTATTTATTATTAAATCGAATTGTCATAATGGTGTTCACTAACACAATACAGATTCGAATTCACTTGAATAAGTTTACAGAAAGGCTGGCATGGCCCAGTGGTTAGGGTGCTCGATTCGCAATCTGAGGATCGCGAGTTCGAATCCCCGTCACACCAAACATGCTCGTTCTTTCAGTCGTGGGGACGTTATAATGTGAAGGTCAATCCCATCATTCGTTGGTAAACGAGTAGCCCAAGAGTTGACGGTGGGTGGTGATGACTAGCTGCCTTCCCTCTAGTCTTACACTGCTAAATTAGGGACGGCTAGCGAAGATAGCCCTGGTGTAGATTTGCGTGAAATTCATAACAAACAAACAATTACGTTTCTCGAAGGAAAATATCAAACCCTAAACTTATGTAAATTTGATATGTGAAATTTGTTTAGCAGATTTTCTCTTCTTCAAAGTTGTCACCTAAAAAATGGATAACTTTAGTAAGATCGACTCACTACTAGAGGGTTAAATTTTAACATTTTGATTTGTATTCGACATATATAAAAAATTGTAAATCAAATTTCACGTCAGATTTTGAAAATTTTACACACGTTTAGACATTCGAACATCATTATTCTTTATGTCATGACGAAACGCCTAAAACTTTCTAAATATTCTTTGCACTTTTTTAATACTGGAAGCTAATAACCTTCAAGATTGTTATAAAATCATAAAAAACGACCAATGCCGTGTAACCTATCCTATATATCAATATGTAACTTTCAGTAAGAAGTTAAATGATTTTAAAGTGGAAAGAAAATATGTTTAGATAAATAAGCTTGAAGGGAACTTTCTGTGTCTAAAAATGAAAAGTGATGATTTGTAAAGATCTCTCAGACTTTTCTTACAATAGCTTGAAAGGCACGTAACATCGGCTATTCAAAGTCTTATATTTTCGCAGACAAGTGTTGTACTAGCCAGCTTTAAGACTTTTGGAGTATAAGGAATGAAGAGAGTAAAGAAAACAAACCACTTAAAATCATCAAATCCAAGTCTAATGAGACAAGACTATTGTATTTGTTCTTCAAAAGTCATAACGAAGTCTTTACAAGATGACAACAAAACGTCTCGTATGCTAATTAATTTCAATATTTTTATTAAGTACAAATACTTGTAGTTGATATGATCTTAGGATTTAAAAAAATAAATATGTTAAATATTATTCTAAATCAACATCGTTTCTCTTTAGATAAAATATATATATTGACTATCATCCACAAAAGCAGAAAACTTGGCAATCACCGCTGACTTACATGTCCTAGTTCTTCTTCATGGGAAGTTTCTACCCCATATTTGGGTAGTTTAGTCAGACTGTTTGTGTGACACAGAGGTTTCTTTACTCCCGAAATCTGTGACATTGTTTGGCCAGGTTTGTGACGTCCATCTTCAGCTTTATAGTTTGTAAGATCTAAATCTTGTTGTTTTTCTGTAAAAAATAATTATAATACTTAAAGGAAGGTTGAAACATATCCCAAAACAAGACTTATACCAATGAAATACAAGTTACGTGTAAGCCTTGTGACCAACTATTTGTCTTCCTTATCACCAACACTAACTAATAATGTATTTAAAAAACATGCAAATTCATAAAAATTATCATTATGTAATGTCTACAAGTTATTATACTTTTTTGTACACGTGAGAATGTTGGCTTTGATGAAGTTATAGGTTTTGGAGCTGTATTAGTATTTTATTCAATAAAAATTAATTAAATGCACCTAAGTAAACTGAAGCATGATTTGATATTTATGTGCATAAGATTGGAAACCAGGAGCTACTTAATCAATGCTTCCCACTATTATAGTCCAGTTTCAGATTTATACCGCTGGGCATATTACAAAACAGTTAGCTAACCGTATTTTTTCTTTTACTATAGTACAATCTCGATCTCTATAAACTACTAGAACATACATTCTAACAAACACTATTACAAGTGAAAAAAAGCTGATAAGTAAAGAGAAGCTCCGAACTTGAGTCTTGAGCCCTAGACATTTGCTAACAAGGCCAATGTTCTACCAGCAATTCAGTAGTTTCAGAAACACCTTTTCATTCACGTCGTATAAACAAAGACATGTTCATAGAGATGCGTGGATTTCAAATATCGTTATCCCCCCAATGGCATAGCGGTATGCCTGCGGACTTATAGCGCTAGAAACAGGGTTTCGATACCCGTGGTGGGCAGAGCACAGATAGCCCATTGTGTAGCTGTGTGCTTAACTACAAACAAACTAGCAAAAATATCATTAGTACCATATACATATGTTTGAAGAAATTATGTTTATTGTTTTATATAATTAATACTTGAAACCTTCAGTACTTGGTGAAACTTCAGAATTGCAGAATTGAGGAAAATAAAGACAACTGTAGGTTTCACAAATATTTCGTTTATTACTTCCATGGTCTCTCTTGTAAAGGTGTCATCAGGAACAGATTGAACTAGCTTGTAAACACACACACACACATATATATATATATATACTTCGTTACAAGCTAGTTTAGTCTGTATATCATAGGCCCAGCATGGTCAGGTGGTTAGGGAGCTCAACCCGCAATTTGAGGGTCGTGGGTTCGAATCGCCGTCCCACCAAAGATGCTCGTCCTTTCAGCCGTGGGGCATTATAATGTGACGGTCAATTCCACTATTCGTAGGTAAAAGAGTATCCCAAGAGTTGGCGGTGGGTGATGATGACTAGCTGCCTTCCATCTAGTCTTACACTGCTAAATTAGAGACGGCTAGCGCGGATAGCCCTCGTGTAGCTTTGCTCAAAATTCATAAAAAACGAAATCATTATGTGGTATTAATTACCCTTATAATATCCTGTGTCTATTAATTTGTAATCTATGTCTTTCAAACTACGACTACACAACGGTTATCTGTTCCTCGTTTTGATCTGAAAAACAGAAGCAGCTAAATGTTTACTCAACAATATCAAATCATATTTCATCCATGCCACAGCAGCATTAGATATTTCACGTTAATGAAACCGTGATAATTTTCCAGCTTTGCTATCCATGGTTGGCTGAAAATATGGACGAATTATTTATACATTTTTTACTCTTTAGATATTCCAGTTAGGCTTGAATTTTCAAGTTCTTTCTGTTATCGTTACATCTTACACCAAGTTCTTATTCAAATACGAGTTACTAGTCCGTAAAACTCAAACAAAGATAATCTGAACTTATTTACAATTAAAGAAATTAAGAAAATTATATAACATCTATAAAGAATAAAAAATGTTTGTAGTTAAGCGCAAAGCTGTCGAAACTTGGTTTTTAGCACTGTAAGTTCGCAGACTTACTGATGTGCCACTGAGGAGCAAAATATTATTTATCATACAAATAGGGTGATTTTAAGTAGCTCGGTTGATAACTAGAATTCATTTTCTCAGCTCAAAGTTTTAGATATATCTTTAACCCATTGTGGTCACAAGATTTCAAGTTTGATTTGATCTGTAGTACAGTAAAAAAATCCTGTGTTATAAAAACATGCCACACCTGTTCAAAATAATAATAAAATATATACTACAAACGTGTCTCGTGTTGTCAGATTTATGTAGTCATATATATATATATATAGAACTAAAAAAGTGGAAAAATGCGAAGGTGATAAAATAAAATAAATTAGACTTTTAGAGAAAAAAATCACTATTAAAAACTATGATAATAATTTATTAACTTGGCGATGTTTCGAGCAAACGCTCTTTTTTCAAGCCAGAAACAAGAACGTTTTGAAATGACACAATACACAAACCAGAATGTAACGCGAGATAGATAAATATATAAATAACTATAAGAATGCTTAATCAAGACTAATTAAAAATCTAATAACTGTTACTCTATAGTTACAGTACGTACATATGTAAAATAATAACAGTTGAAAGAGAAATACACATGAAACTAGCCTATACTTATAGTTTGTGTTGGTCTATAGGAATAAGGTGATTAGCTCATTTAATTTATTGATTATATATAGTAAACAACTATATTTGAAATTTTCAGAGACTATTCTCTGTCCCTGAATTTTGACCAGTTTTATTAATTTTGTAATTTTTAAGTACCGTTTTCTTACTTATATCACAAATAAAATTTACCTAAAAATGTACTGCAGATGAATTCAGAAATCTGATGACCAGATTTTGACTCTGAGAAGTGGCTAGATAATTCCTTGTTCAGCATTCGTTTGAACTATAACCATAAATGAAAAGTCGTAATGTTAGTAAATCACGGAACCAAGAAATACCAGAAATCTTATCTACTTTTGAAATGACATTATCTGTTAATGTGTTCTCTATTAATAAATTGTTTTCTCTATATTTACATGCAGAAATGTAATAAGTCTGAGTATTTGATAATTTTTCTTCGTGTGCATAAATACTGCGTATAAATGTTTTATCAAACAAACACAAGTGAAATTAATTAATAAATCTAATGAAAAAAATATTAAAATAATAAATTTGTTGTTAAACCTCTGCTAGTGGACTACTACACATCAAAATCACTTCCAGCTACAAATATGTATAAATATATATATTGCTGTATCCACAGGGGGGATTCGAACCCCGGATTTTAGCTTTGTAAACCATAAACACAATGTAAATGTTTATATTTGTTAGACTAAACCAAAATAGGTTCTATTAAAATGAGGTTTTCACTAAATATTTTAGACGTGATTGAAATATTATTAGCTTTTACAATTCAGTTTGAAAAATAGAAGTTGAAAATAATGTAACCTTTCTGTTTTAATATTACAATATTCTACAAACCTTTAAATTAGATACTCTACATTTGTCAAACATCGTTACGGTATTCACTACATTATTTTAATCTTTATCATTGCTTTAAAAACAGTAACATTATAAAACCTAATATTTTCTTTCTTTTATTATTTCAGTGTACGTGCTTTTATGATTTTTTTTTCTATCTACAAATACTCTGTGCTGTGTTATCTATCCATTTGTTTCTTTATATATATGCGGCGCATGAGTCTCTTGTCTGGATAGGATATTCTGTCACGTGTAGGGGGATTAAACAGTTAGGAAGAATCAGTTCGCGCTCCCAAGCAAATAAACTTTTCCCAGTGACACACATACACCATCTTTATAATTTTCTGTCTCTCTCTCCACATATACTGTATGATAATTTTGAGTTGGTGAGAATGATGCCCCCTTAGGAACAGTTTATTTGGGAAAGCTAAGCCTCCCCACGCCTCTTATACGTTCTGTCCCTACTTTTTAAAGTATATTTCTATGGTTAAACTTTGGTGTACGATTGTTTTTGTTTTGCACCCTTTTTGTTTGGGTGAAATAGGTTTAACGTGTTTGTGCCTTATGTACCTTGCTAGACGCCATGTCTCCAACAGATCTGTGAGATTGGATTGTTTCCAGCTGATCCAGACACCAGTCCAGTTCATCCAAAGTTTCAACTGCCAGCTGTATATGTTGTCCATCTGGAAGCATTGAACAAACAGTTGAACAGTAAGTTTCTAGATACTAATTACTTCAGTGCATTGTATTCTCCAATATTCAAATATCTTTGTAATAAGGTATCGTAAATAACTCTCTAACAGTATTATAGCTTATAAGTATAATGATTTCACAAGTTTAGCATACTGGTTATATAAAAAATATAAAATAATTATAAAGTGTATTAATTACTCTCTAATAATAGTGCAAAAATCTTATCGACTACACATCACTGACTGTAGCAATACCCTACTCATAGGACGTGTTTCAACTATAGAAACCTATAACCTATCAACTACACATCACTGACTGTAGCAATACCCTACTCATAGGACGTGTTTCAACTATAGAAACCTATAACCTATCAACTACACATCACTGACTGTAGCAATACCCTACTCATAGGACGTGTTTCAACTATAGAAACCTATAACCTATCAACTAAACAGTACTGACGACGGCAGGATTCTGGAAATATAGGATATGAATAACCCATAAACTATAAAGCAGCAAAGATTATGGGCAAATTATATCGTTATATAGAGAGTTCTAGCTTCAACTATTTAAGTGAATTATTATTAGATACTGATTATATAATTATTGATACATTATCTATTACCTACACAGTACAGATACAATCACTATATATATCAACTTTCTTCTTACCTGTCAGCTTGGTCGGAGCTGCAGTTGAATTGACCGTTCCTGAAGATCTTCTAGTCCTAGGGAAGGGTACAAAGATCAACGGATATATAAGTGCTGCACATATCTTGTAAATGTTCTATATAAGTGCTGCCCATATCTTGTAAATGTTCTATATAAGTGCTGCCCATATATTGTAAATATTCTTTTGAATAAATCTAATTCGACCTAAAGATGACCCTTTTACACACGAAATAACGACGTACAGAATTAACTATGAAATCTTTAATCCTTACATAACATATTCCATACAAATGAAATAAATCAAGACCTACTTATTTGCAGGGACACTAGTGATGCGGATATAATTATTTCGTACATTTCTTAAACTCTGCAAGACTTGGGCAAAGGGGGTAACAATCAGGTCAGCTTCTCCATGTCTGTAAAATAAACAAAAATTCACTACTTTAGTCTCTTGCATTGCCTTCTCTCTAAAGAGTTTTGTTTTTACGAGCACATTTGTTTGTCCAAAGTAAATTACAGTTCTATACTAGCAAAGTGGCACAGCGGTATGTCTGCGGACTTATACCACTAGAAACCGGGTTTCGATACCAGTGGTGGGCAGAGCACAGATAGCCCTTTGTGTACTTTGTGCATAATAACAAACAACAACCCATTCCAATAATTTTTTTTAAAAGAGAATTTTCATCAACTGAATTTTGAATCACTTGCTTGTAGCAAGATCTTTTTACTGCAATTTAAGAAAAAAGAATTTAATCATATAAACCAGTGAATTTAGAAAAGAAAAATGTTCAGATCAAACAATTTGTTAGCTAACAAGGCCTTAGTTTTCAAGTTTAGAAAAGAATATACATCAATTCAAAATGTTAACATTAAATTAATAAGGCATGCAATAAAACTGATTGATGCAACAATTTTACACCTACAACTTTAACAAGCAATCTCTGACTTAATGACACAAAATATAACTATTTTGGTAGGTGGTGAGTTATCCCATCAGATCCGGAAACCTATGAGTGAAGTACATGACTGTGTAGAGAATGATCCATGGATCATTTTATCGTGCTGTTTTCTTTGACCTGAGGAGTCGTTAGGGTGTTATATCCTACTGAAGTGGAACTGCCTCACGTTATTTTGTCTTTATATTAATACTCCTCTTTTTTTCTTTCTTTTTTTTTTCGCTCTCATCCCCATTTGAGGGCAAGTCGTCGGATACATCCGTAAGTTTACCGTTCCTGTACGCAGATGTACTTCTCTTTGGGTGATTGACAGCATCTCCTCCATCGAAGCTTTTCTAAACTTTTATATGGCTAAGGTTTTGAGCAACTAGTGTGCTATCGTAATCGCATCCACACTGCTACACTTGTAACACCTTCAGCATTTTGTTACTTTACATTTGCAGGTTAGTTTTGAATCCGTCCTTGTTTTCATTTCGACAAGAACAAGCACTCGGAGATTCTGGATCGTTGTCTCTGCAGTTCCTCACAGGTTTCACAAAGAGTTCGAAAATGGTGAATGTTTCATAGATAATGTCTGAATTAGAGTAAAAAAATCATCCAACTCTACTGACAAAAACCAATCATAACTTCGTTGGATGTTATCAAATTATAGATCGTAGTACACCTCTGGATTCTTCATAAAATAATCCCTAATCCTGTAGATTTTTAGAAGAAAAACTAAGTACTGAATATGGTTCTTACAAAATGCCTATTTCTGCTGTCATTTTAAAAAAACAACGTAAGATAAAATAACATGAAAAGTTTAAATAGAGAGAGGTAGATATCAAACCTACAATAATAAAACCACATATGTAAAAAAATCAACGCTACCCATTAATTGCATAAGAACTCTGATACAGCAAAATAAACAGTATAAATATGGTTTCCAAAAGCACTGGAACAATTCAATTCTGACATAAACATATTACTAGAAGAAATGACAAATTCTACATCATTCGTTAAAACAGTGGGTACAAATAAAAAATAAATACTAATGAATAGCACACAGTACACATAAACTGCTTTATGTATGGCATATACAAGTGAGAATATATCGACTACAGTGCCTTAAGGCATTAATAATATCTATTACCTTCTCCTACTGTAAAAAAAAGTACCATGTTTAACAGGAAAAAGGAACTAATGTGTGTAGTTAAAAAAAACAAGGTATAATCACACATTTTATATATATATCAGGTCATATAAAAACCTGAGAGTTTTCTCAAATTTATTTTACAGAACCACAGTTGCACTTTAAGTACACGAAGGTACATTCTGCCTACTACCCTCTTAGATAATAAATGTATTTTTTTTTCAAAATTATTATTGTTTCCCAGTGCTCTCAGTTTGAACACTGAATATTGCTAAAGTAACATTTTAACCTTCCCTGTTTTGAAAGCATGCACAATATGAATTAGCTAATTAGCAAATTATCGACTTCTGTTGCAAAGAAAATAGATGTTCAGGAATAGGAAGTTATCTTCCCTGGTGGCCAATTGGATAAGGGTCATGTGCAGCTACGCCCTAGAGTTTGGCTCGGAGTAGACAAAGATATTGTATGTAAGGTGCATTTCTTGTACAATTATAGTTTTGTTTGTGGATTTTCCTTTTGCACTTAAAGTCATATTTTCCTCTATAAAATAGGATTTTACCGATATTTAGGATAGACAGGAATTTTTACACATTTTAAGGATAAACTACGGTTTTTAGATTGTACAGGAGGAAAGAAACATACCGAACTGATAATAACTCATCGAATAGTTAAACATTAGCTTAACTTACAGGAGGAAGGGAACATACCGAACTGATAACTCATCGAATAGTTAAACATTAGCGTAACTTACAGGAGGAAGGGAACATACAGAACTGATAAGAACTCACCGAATAGTTAATGTTAGCTTAACTTACAGGACGAAGGAAACACACAGAACTGATAAGAACTCATTGAATAGTTAAACATTATCTTAACTTACAAGAGGAAAGAAACACACACTGAACTGATAAGAGTTCATTGAATAGTTAAACATTATGTTAACTTACAGGAGGAAGGAAACATACTGAACTGATAAGAGTTCATTCAATAGTTAAACATTAGCTTAACTTACAGGAGGAAGGAAACACACTGAACAGATAAGATTTCGTTGAATAGTTAAACATTATCTTAACTTACAGGAGGAAAGAAACACACTGAACTGATAAGAGTTCATTGAATAGTTAAACATTATCTTAACTTACAGGAGGAAGTAAACACACTGAACTGATAAGAGTTCATTCAATAGTTAAACATTATCTTATTTTACAGGATGAAGGATACACACTGAACTGATAAGAGTTCATTGAATAGTTAAACATTATCTTAACTTACAGGAGGAAGGAACACGCTGAACTGATAAGAGTTCATTGAATAGTTAAACATTATCTTAACTTACAGGAGGAAGGAAACACACTGAACTGATTAGACTCCATTGAGTAGTTAAACACTGATGAGCATGAGTATTCTTCATTCACTCTTATTAGCTCAAAACGTATAACAATCTTTGTAGTTCATTTGTTTCTGTTAAAAACAATGTGAACTATCGGTGCCCGATTGGTTTTCGATGACTCAGGTTCAAACTGGGAAAGTATTTTTCTCCGTAGTCCGATAGTCTTCGAACTTCCAAGAGTACCGCACATTTTTTAAAGTTTTATCAGTACATTATGGGTGAAAACTAGAAAACATTTTATTGTCGTTCAAGCAGTCACTTAATACAATTTTAAGTTACTTACTCGAGGGTTATCTGCGGTAGCCCTCCTTAGTTTAGCAGTGATAGACTAGAGATAAGGCAGCTAGTCAGCACCACCCACCGCCAACTCTTGAGATATTCTTTTACCAACGAACAGAGGGATTGACCGTCACATAATAACGCCTTCACGGCTGAAAGGGCGAGCATGTTTGGTAAGGGGGATTCGAACCTGCGGATTGCGAGTCGAGCATCCTAATCACCAGGCCATGCCAGGCTCTTTTTAATCTGAAATACCTGTGTTATGATGTGTTTGTAATGGGCAAGTTATATTCCCAGGTCGGTACCTTACATGTACAATGTGAGATGAAAACATGACAGTTTTACGTGCTCAGCAATTTTTATATAATTTGTAAACACAACATATATACATTACCTATATCTGTGCACTACTTCGGTTGTATATACGCTGTAGTTAAGTCTCTTTTTATTTCAAAGATAATCATTAGCAATAAGGTAACAAAACTATGTGCTTTGAGGATATTAACTACTGAGGCTATAAAGAAAACTAGATCCTCAGTGGCTCTGTACTTGCTAAGTTCATTCAGCTCACACTAAACATCAAACATTTACGTATATATATTTTCTGTATAAATGTGACTGTTGTTGATTAGTATGAGTTGAAATTATATATCTTATATGGATTTTATATGCAAGTTATATGTAAACATATACATCTTACCTCACTGAAAATCCATATTGTAACAGGGTCACAAAATGATTAAAGTAAACACATGTACCCTAGATTCAGCCAGGGTAAAAATCTTTATTATAACTGAGCATTTTTTACAGAATAACTACAGCCCAGTTAAGTGGAAAATGAAATAATATAACATAATATTGCCATAAAAATTGGAAAAAGGTAAAGCAGGATTCTGTAATATATTGTCAAAGTCAATGCAAATTGACACACTGTATATTTGTGTATATATATATCAGTTAAAGATTAATTTGTTTGTTTGTAATTAAGCACAAAGCTATACAATGGGCTATCTGTGCTCTGCCCACCACGGATATTGAAACCCGGATTCTAGCGTTGTAAGTCCGCAGACATACCGCTTTGCCACATCAAATCGCATTCCATTTCAAGCTATTTCTAACTGAGAGCGTTGTTGTTATAAGTATCTCATTTAAATTCTTATTAAATTGTACTTTTCACAAAAATCTGCTCAGACACAGTCATCAAAGTTTGGTCTGGTGGTATCTATAACATCACATTACGCAACTAAGTCCACGATGAAAATATTTTAAAACTAATAAAAAAAATAAAATTATTTTTGACTCTCACCTGCCGTCATATAAGAATGTTACAGTATGATACGTGAATTAATCCTTGTAATGTATTACATGTTTTCAAGTTTATTGTGTAACAAAATTGTAAAGTGTTTTCAAGGGATTGTTTTATTTCAATTGTAATAGAATAGCTTATCTATGCTATGCCCATCACGGGTATCGAAACCCGGTTTTTAGCGTTATAAGTCTTCAAACTAGAGGGCTATACAATTAGATTTACTTTAGTCAATAAAATAATTGTAATTCTTATGATTGATGAGAAAGGTTAAGAACAGTTTGTTAAAGTGCTTCTCATCTAACTATATAACTAGTTTATAAATCTTTAGAAATAGTGTGATACATTTTTCA